GGAGGGGGTTACAGAGATAGGGAGGGGGTGTAAGGGCCGGAGGGGGTTACAGAGATAGGGAGGGGGTGTAAGGGCCGGAGGGGGTTACAGAGATAGGGAGGGGGTGTAAGGGCCGGAGGGGGTTACAGAGATAGGGAGGGGGTGTAAGGGCCGGAGGGGGTTACAGAGATAGGGAGGGGGTGTAAGGGCCGGAGGGGGTTACAGAGATAGGGAGGGGGTGTAAGGGCCGGAGGGCGTTACAGAGATAGGGAGGGGGTGTAAGGGCCGGAGGAGGTTACAGAGATAGGGAGGGGTGTAGGGGCTGAAGCAATGGTTGGAAGTGAGCAGAATGTTTAAATTGGAGACCGTGTGCTAATGTAGAATAATGAGCACAGCATAGGCATATTTGAGGAAGAGTTAGTGCATGTTGGGTCAGTAGGCTAGCAGGTAGATTTGGATGACTTGATGGGAATTGGGAGACTATCCAGGACGGGATTGGAGTGGTCCTGTCTGGAATTAAGTACAGAATGAGGGTTTTTTCCCCCACACCAAATGGGCTCAGGCAGCTGAGAAGCTGGGTAATGTTCTAGAGATGGCTTACGAAGGGTTAGTTGCTGTGACGCAGTACTGAAACAGTCCAAACCTCCTCTTCAATCCTCACTGTCATCGCTTGAGTAACTGAGAACCTCAGGATCTCCACACGGTTAGGGTAATGTAGAGGGAGCTCTACGCTGTATCTAACTCCGTGCAGTCCTGGCAGCTCTCAATGCTGACACCGGGTGTTTATGTGACCCTGAGTGGGATTAAGGTTTCTCAGCAGCGTGTGTGTGTTTTTTCAGTGTGAGCATGCTAACTGTGACTAACCCATTGACTAACTCAGCATGTCTGCCACTCGCAGGGAGGCCCATACCCAGTCAATACTAACACGGGCAGCAGAGACAGTCTCAGCCTCTTAGAGAGCTACCAGGACTAAAGCACTAACGGTCCTCGCCAAAGCATGTGCATGGTATGTTTGTCTGCTTCCAGCTCCTGAAGTTTCATTCGCAGCAGGGTGTCTGCATGCTGCAGGGCACTGGAGTAAGTGGGCTGGACAAGTGGGTGCGAGAGAGGGGTGAGCAGATGGAGGGAGGGGAAAGGAGCGAGAAGGTGTGAGCGGCAGCTGGACAGCGTTGGTGGGAAGTGGAGGGAATGGGGTGCAGAGAAAGGACAAGGGTTGCTTTCGGGACAGGGAGATTGGGAACTCCTGTGAGAGGGGTCGGGAGGGGTAATGAGAAAGGGGGCCTACCAGGAAAGTGAGGTTATTGGTTGTGGGGGTGGTGCTGGAGCAACAGGGAGGTGCAAGAGATCAAGGACATGAGGTTTCTGACCCAGTGAGATATTTCCAAGCCAGGACGGTGAGTGGCTTGGAGGGGAACTTGCAGGAGGTGGTGTTCCCATGCCCCCTTGTCCTTCTAGATGGAAGTGGTCGTGGGGTTTGATGATCATTTTTTATCAGGTTTGATGAACTGCTGTGACTGTGGATTTATGGAGAAACCCAGACAGCAGATCCCCCTATCAGATGTGAGCCAACTAATGCACCTTAGTTACAATTGTTAGTCACTTCAACTGAAAACGTAACCCCTACACTACTGTATTTCCCTCTGCGATCACGACTCATTTGTGTTTTGTGTTTCCTTTTCAGAATGACTAGACCATCTCTGAACTAACTGGTGAAGATGCCCCTGCCTTTGTGAATTTCTTTTTTACATATATATATGTAAAATATATATATATATTGACACGTGGTAGAGTTTGTGGCAGCACTGTAACCATTTTGATTACCCTGTGGGAGCATCTCAATGTCAAATGACAGACTCTCTTTCTACTTAACAAATTACATTTCTCTTTTTTTATATAAGAAGAAAATATATATATATATGGAGGTTGGGCCAGATGGAGGGAGCGTGTTTGGGAAGGGAGTGAGAGAGGGAGGGGTTCGGGTAGGGCAGAGGGGGTGTTGGACAAGTGAATTTGCCTCCTTCCGTTGGTCAAGGTCGGGCTGTCAAGGCCACCACAGTTCTCCAGCGTTTGCCTCATTCTGTGGAGATTGAGGGAGCCTGCTGTGTTTGGTTTCATCCTGAGGCGGAGGAATCTCTCGATATTTGGTCCCCCTTCCCCCCCCCAACTTCCGTTCGGAAGGATTGAGTGTGATTTTTATTTTTAACCACCCTGTTTTGATCCCCTGCCCAACTCCTTGCCTTGCCTGTCAGGTGGGGTGGGAAGGGGAGCAGTTGACACGGTTTATATTACACCTGAATGAGGGGTTTGCAGGGGGTCGTTGGTGGGAATGGATGCTGAGGCCTACCCCACAGGCTTCTGAATGCGTCTGCAGGCTAAATTGATTGCTTGCGGTGGGTGTGACAGACTTTCTGGCAGTGCTTTCACCTGGAATTTAATGGCTCCTTGGGTTTAATGCTCTCTTTTTTTTTTCCTTTCTGTCTTGACCAGGGCTTTTGTGAGGTTTGCGTCAGTTATCCCTTCTCTTGTGCTCCAGAACAGGCACTAAATATTTTGAAAGACTTGAATTGAGGCAGCGAGGGAGACAGAGGTGGGAGAGATCAGCCTCAGGGGATTCCTGGGGCAGTGTCCCGGGATTGGTTTGTCCCAACACCATTAATGTTTTCCTGTTTCGTTTACGGTGCCTTTGACGTGTTCAGGGAGAAGGAAGTCTCTGGCCTGTAAAACTTGGTGCTAAGCTCAGGGGGTGTGGGTTGTTGCTGTTAGGAGATGTGGATGAAACTTTTTTTGGGAATTACGAAACCACACCAGCCCAACCCTCTCTCTACCCTGTACCAGCCCATTGAACCTCGACTGAGCGTTATAAAGATTACTGGCAAGTGGAGTAGGACCCTCTCTTTCCCTTGCCTCCCAAGGAAACAGTTGCCCTCCATCTTAACAACCAATGAAACAGACCCCTCTCCCCCATTGGAAGTCAGGCCCTGATGGAACAGTGATTGCTGGGGAGGGGGAGGTGATGGTGTATCGTCTTGGGATCTTGCTGTGCTCGTTACTGCAGACGTTACTCAGGTGAGGTAGGCCACAGAGGCAAGACTAAGTTGGCTGCCAGGACCATTGCTGCGATTGTGTTCTTTAGTGCTTTTTGTTTTAACTGCTCTGTGTTCAGTCAAAGTTGATCACAGTTGAGAATTGAGGGGGATGGGGGTGGGAGGGAGAAAAATTACCACTACAGATACTTCTTTTTATAAATCTGAGACCTAATTACCTTCGCGATTTGATTCTCTCCTTTTTTTAACCTCAATAAAAAGTATGTGTTATTTTTTACAAAGAGACAATAAAGGCTGTATTCAGGAGGCAGAAATGTAACGTTTCCAGGCAATTTTTAAAAAAATTATTATTGAGGGTAGCACATTTTGTTTTTTCCCCGTCATTGCTGCTCCAGTTCTTTATCTTTCTTCCTCGGCAGGGACAGGGGCGTTTCTTTCGGCCGAGACTGGGGATAAATAAAGGCAGCAGCAGGGCCTGAGGAGCTCGAGTATCCTGTGAGCAGTGCAGGAAAGGACCAGGCTCCATTCCGGGCCTACGTGCTGCTGATTTAACCTGCATCTCTCACTCTCGTGTGGTAACCGTGCATCACACGCGCAGTGCAGAAAAGGTGATCCAAGCCAGACACAGCATTTAAAACTGTCCCCCGCTGAAGTCTAAGATTTCTTCCTGGCTGGAGGCTTCTTTTGCGCGTGTGGGTGCAGCTGGGGGCCTATTGGTGTTCTCTCAGATGCTTGCCCATTGTGAGGAAGGTAATGTCGCTGCTGTTATTTTGAACTTTGGAGACAGCCCGGTGTGCCAGAAGGGAACGTCGGTCGGATTTAGGAACGATTAGAACCGACCCGATTCGTTTTCCACACCTCAGCGTGGGCCTGGCCTGGCCTGTCCTGCCATTTCCATGTCGCACTGGCGTCTCCTCTTGAGGTGGGTGGGGGGGGCACGTTATCGGAATCCTGCAATGGAAGACCAGGATTGGGGGGGGGGGGGGAACATTGGGAATTTAGAGTGTGGGGAGAGAACCAGGGGATTGCCCCTTCTGTGTGCCTTATGTTAGGGAGAGCATCGGGTAGCGGTGCGTGTGAAGGGATAGGGTTAAACGACAGTTTGTTTGGGGATCAGGACTTGTTGGTGTGGGGAGGAAAGAGAGACCTTAAATGATTGCCCCTCCCCTCCCAGCAACCAACACTTTGAATTTCTCACGGTCACCTTGATTTCTTAACTAGCCCTCGGACTTTTGGGGCTGTGTAGTACAGTGGGTGGATTAAGGCAGGAGGAGAGTTTTTTTATTGCATTCGCCTCTCTATCTGCTTCCTGCCAGTCAGCTCTCTGATCCGAGTTGCTTTTCCTTTTGAAAATAAAAAACTTTCTCTGTAAAACTGTACAAATAAATTTTTAAAAATGGATTTTATTGACGTGCAGGTGTATCATGTCTGTGGGGTTGGAGTGATGTTGAGTTGGCTGCTACCACAAGGAAGCAGAAATAATTGAGGGTTACACTTGGGACTTTCTATATTCATTCACGGGATGTGGGCGCCGCGCTGTCGGAGGGCCGGCGCTGAGGGGGCGCCGCGCTGTCGGAGGGCCGGCGCTGAGGGAGCGCCGCGCTGTCGGAGGGTCAGTATTAATGTGATTCTGTGCATCACGCATGCCTCCAGATTCCATTGGATGTTATGGTGAATTTATATCTGATGATCCAAATTAGGAGCATTGATAGGCAAAATATATCTGGTCTGTTGAGCCTTCTCATCAATTCAATAAGTTCCTGCTAAGCTGAACCTAACCTCAAATCCATATTACTACCTACCTCTGCCTTAAAAATATTCAATGTCTGTTTCCAAACCTTCTCAGGGAGAGAATTCCATAGACTCATGACGTTCTGTGCATCTCTGTTTTAAATGGGTGTCCCCTTCTTAACCCTTGTCTCCTTGTTTTATATTGTCCCACACCCACCTGTCGTGATCAGACATTTAATTGTACATTTCAATTAAGTTGTCTCTTACGCTTGTAAACTCCAGTTGAATCTGTCCAAACCCTACCCCCAAAAAGACATCCAGCCAAACCCAGTTATCAGTTTAGTGAACTGTTTCTGATCTGCCTCCAACATATTAATATTCTTCTTTTAACAAGGTGACCAATGCTGTACGTATAGTGGTCTGTATAATTGATCCCCACTATTGTAGATATTTTCCTAATCAACTTGTCCAGGGATGTTATGACACACCTGGAATAGATGGGTCTTGAACCTGGGCCTCCTGGCTCAGAGGCAGGCACACAATCATTGCGCCACAAGAGCCACCCTACATTTTGTATTTGATTCCCCTCGTGATAAACAACAACATTCCATTAGCTTTCCTAACTACTTGCTGCATCACCAGACTAACCTTTTGCAATTCATGTGCAAGGTCACCCAGATCCCTCTGCGTCTCAGAGCTCTGAAATCTCCATAATTTAGATCATATGCTTTCTTTTACTCCTTCTGCTAAAATGGACAATTTCACATCTTTCTACATTAGACTCTATTTGCCAGCTTTTTGCCTTCCTTCAGTTGAAGAATCATAGAGTTGGATGGCACGGAAACAGAACCTTCAGTCCAACTTGTACGTGCTGATCAGATATCCTAAATTAATCTAATCCCATTTGCCAGCATTTGGCCCGTATCCCTCTAAACCCTTCCTATTCATGTCCCCATCCAGATGCCTTTTAAATGCTGTAATTGTACCAGACTCCAACACTTCCTCTGGCAGCTCATTCCATACACGCACCACCCTCTGTGTGAAAAAGTTGCCCCTTGAGTCCCTTTTGAATCTTTCCCCCTCTCACCTTAAACCTATGCCCCTCTAGTTTTGGACTCCTGGGGAAAAGACCTTGGCTATTCACCCTATCCATGTTAACCTTACACATTCATTTGTAGCTCCCTCATGACTGCTTTCCAACACTTCTCCCCCCCCTCCAGCCCATGTACCTTTATGTCATCAGCAAACTTAGCTACCATATGTTCAGTCCCTTCATTAGGTCATTGATATAAATTGTTTAAAAAGTTGAGGTTGTTGAAATTAAACAGATACCTTCAGCTGGCTCTTTACACATATTCCCCTGCTTCCCTGTTGGCGATCCAATCTTCCTTCCGTACCAACATGCTACCTTAATGAGCCTTTATTTCCTGCAATAACCTTATGGAATTCTGTGCATTGTCCATCCACCTTTACAGCATGTGCTGATCCAGCAAACAGTGCGTAGGTCAAACATGATTTTTCCCTTTCACAAAACCACGTCATCTCAGCCCGATTACTTTGAATTTTTCCCCAAGTGCTTGCTATAAGGTCGTAAGTAATAACATCGTACAATCCTGCTGCATCAGATGTCAAGCCCTCTGGCACGTAGCTTCCTGGCCTGCATTTTTGATTAAATGAATTATCTTCCACTCTAATACAGGAGGTGATGACCCAGTGGTAGTATCGCTGAGACAGAGATACAGGTAATGTTCTGGGGACCTGGGTTCGAATCCCACCTTGAGGGAATTTGAATTCGATAATGATCTGGAAGTGAGAGTCGTGACTATGAATCCATTGCCGATTTGTCAGGGAAAATCCATCTAATGTCCTTTTAGGGAAGGAAATCTGCCATCCTTACCTGGTCTGGACTACATGTGACTCCAGACCCACAGTGATGTGGTGGACTCTGAACTGCCCTCTGGGCAATTAGGGGCAGGCAATATATGCTGATCTAGCCAGTGACGCCCTCATCCCGTGAATGAATAGAAAAAAACCCCTCCCTGAATGTAGGGAATTTTGGAAAATGCAAACCAAAGGGTCAACCATCTCACTAATGGCTCCCTTTAAAACCTGAGGAAAGCCCATCAGGACCCGGGCACATGTCAGCTCACAGGTCCAACACCCTGCTCAGTACCTCTCACCTGGGGCTTTACTGAGCTTTCAATCCCTTCCCTTTCCTGATTTACTGCTATCTCTGGGATGTCACTTCTATCTTTTACAGCCTCTAATTATCTGTTCGACTCATCTGCTATATCCTTATTTTCCATTACTAATTCCCCAGACACACACTCTATAAGACCAACTCTCTCTTTCTTAATTAATTACCTTTGCAAATTATCTGTGGAAGGCTCCACTATCTGCTTTATATATTCCTACTAGTTTTCTCTTTTTACACTTTTCTCCCCCTCCTTATAAATATGTTGTTATTCTTTGCTTCATTTGTATTCTGCACGATATTCAGACCTATCTTTTACAATCGCAAGAACGTAGGAAGTGGAGTACGCCATTCAGCCCCTCAAGCCTGTTCTGTCGTTCAATGAAGATCATGGCTGACCTTTGGCCTAACTCCCTACACCCGCTGTTGACCCATGTCTCTTAATACATTTGCTTCACAAAAACATCTATTCAGATTTTAAAATTAACATCTGATCCAGCATCCACTGTCGTTTGTGGAAGAGAGTTCCAATCATATGCTTTTTCTTTAACTGTGATCCTACTTTTAACTTTTTTCAGTTAGTGGTGGATCCATCCTTAGACATTTTCAGTCACACTGGAATATATATTCCGAACTGTCCCCTTAAAAGTCTGCCATTGCATCTCTATTGACCAATTCCTTAACCCTAATTTGCCAGTTAATTTTAAGAAGCTCTGTTTTTGTACCCTCATAATGGCCTTTATTTAGGTTTAAATTACTAGTCTTGGGCCATTCCCCTCTCCCTCAAACTGAATATAAAATTCTATCATATTATGATTGCTGCTACTGAGGGACATCTTCACTGTGAGGGCATTAATTATCATATTTCGCTGGTCAGTTCCAGAATGTTCTGTTTGAAAAAACTATCCTGAAAACACTCAACTTCTTTATCTAGGCTACCTTTGCCCAGTGTCTATGTAGAATAAAGTCCTCCATGACTATTGCTGTGCCTTTTTTGATTATTTACAGTCATAGAGATGTACAGCACAGAAACAGACCCTTCGGTCCAACTTGTCCATGCCGACCCAGATATCCTAAATTAATCTAGTCCCATTTGCTAGCATTTGGCCCATATCCCTCTAAACCCTTCCTATTCATGTACCCATCC